ATCTGAATACTTGAGTGGAAGCTATTATTGTAAGCAAACTCTGCTAAAGGAAGGTGATCATCCCAATTTCCTTTTAATTCAATTGCATAAGCTCTAGAGTCTAGATAGTTTTGTCTATTTGTCCATCAGTTTGGGGATGGTAGGCAGTGCTAAACCTCAACCGTGTTTCCATGGCATCCTGCAACGATCTCCAAAACCTTAAAGTGAATCGTGGATCTCGATCTGATATAATACTCGTTGGTGTGCCACGTAATCGGATGATCTCCTTCACATAGATCTGTGCTAGCATTTCCAAAGAATAATTTGTCTTGATGGCTAGGAAATGAGCTGATTTAGTAAATCTGTCAACAATCTCCCAAATAGCATCATGCCCTAATTGAGTTCTAGGAAGACCTATGATAAAGTCCATGGAAATACTATCCTACTTCCATTCTGGAATCTCTAGATTTTGCAATAATCATGGGGGCTTCTGGTGTTCAATCTTGACCTTTTGGCAAGTTAGACAATGAGAGACAAACCCAGTTACATCTTTCTTCATACTAGGCCACTACCAATTTCGCTTTAAATCATGGTACATCTTGGTGGCTCCAGGATGGATAGTGTATTTACTTCTATGAGCTTCATCAAGTAGTAATTTCTTTAACTCTTTATCATTAGGGAGATGCCACATCTAGTACTATGATAATTAGGAATAAGAAATATTCCTAAATATTTAAGGGTAAAAAATGACAAAGGGAAATAGAAAATTTTGGTGGAAAATAATTATTATAATTTTCAAAGCCAATTATGAAAAGTTTGACTAATTAAGGAAAATTGGTCAAGAATGATTATGGAAAAATATTTCCAAGCCTCATAAAATTAAGAAAAAATAAGGATGATATCCTTTGAGAATTATATGGGATTTTAAAATTAGTTTTATGACCAAATTTCCCTTAGAGAAATTACAAAGGAATTTAAGGGCGATTTAAGCTAGTTTAAGGTCTTTTATTTGGAAAATTCCAAATAAATAGGAGAATAAAATCCTAAAAAAATTCCTATGATATCCCAAGGAATTATAAGAGATTATGAAAGTAAAAGAAGACCCTCAAGTATCCAAGATTTTTCCCAATTCCTTTGAAAAGAGGAAAAATCACTAAAGAGAAGGAAAACAATTTTCCTTTTTATTTAATTATTGGGAAATTAAATTTGAGACAAAGAGGGCAATTTGGGAAGATAAAAATGAGGAGAATAATTTATGGATATGACAGAAAATAATTACAGAGGCCAGAGCACTGTAATTATAGAAAAGAAGTTAAACCCGGAGTAAAAGTGCACTGATAAAGTGTTAATCAGAGTCTTGCACTTTGCTTGGCCCATAAGTTGCCAATTGTCAAGCCTTCAATGGATGGTAATTAAAGCTTTCCAAGTGTCAAGCTACCAATGGAGAGGGTCTTGACTTTAGAATTTAATTACATTATGATTTAAGTTAATTAAGAGGGAAAATTCAAGAAGGAGTAGGCACTTGACACTTGGCATCTCATTAATGTGGGTAGATGAGATATTTTGGGAGCATTAAGTGAGGTCTTCCTCCCTATTCTCAGATCTATATTTTGTCCAAGGAGAGATCAAGAGAGAAAGGAGTGAGCTTGAAGTGGAAACAAGAAGAAAGCAACCATCTTGGATCAAGTAAGCTTGGAGTTAAGGTTGGTAGTTGATTCTATGTTGTTCCTTGCTTGATTCTCTTGTTTTTGATGGTTGAAAATTCTGGTTCTCTCCCTTTTATTATGCTGGACGAAATAAATATAAAGAAGGGAGGGAAGTTTTATTGTTCAAACTTGCTAGAACACCTCAAAGCATGATAGATCCTAGTGGTTGCAAGAGGTTATAGGTTGATTTTGAAGTGTTTTCTTTGTTATAATGCATGAGAACCATTTCGGCCAAGGAAAAATATGGACCCTAGGATGTTTTTTTGAAAGTTTTGAGGCTTCCATTATGTTCAAAATGGAAAATAGTGTAGGGTAAACCTAAAGAACAAGTGTTGGAAGCCATAGAATCAAAGTTGTAATTTTTGGAAAGTGAACTATAGTGGTTCGGCAAAGCTGAAACTGAAAGAAGAAATTTTATTTTGTTAGATCCAAGTATATATTTGGAATATATATAAAAAATCATGTAGGAATGAGTCAAGAGAAAATTTTTAGAGTTTATGGAAACCAACTCTAAAAATTCAAGAACAAAGATGGAAGCTTTAAGGGGTTTAGGAGTTACTTGAGTTATGCTATTGATTTTTATGAGGAATGGTTTATAATTCTTGCTACCCTTTTTGTGGATTGCCATGTTAGGGTTTGGAATTTGTGGAAGTAAGAAAGGAGAACAAGAAAATCAAAGAGCATTGGATTAAGGTAGTAAGATTTAATTGACCTTAATTTTGAATGTTGCATTGATTGCTATGCAATTTCATGTGCTATTATGTGGTTGAACTAAATGATGATGATGATGATTGTGTATCTATACTCCTTGCTTTATGTGCCTTGACTATTGCATGTTAGAGTGCTACATGTATGAGGTAAAGTAGTTCCCTAGTAATAGCAAAAGGTTGGAATGCTTGTAATTGATGCATATTAATGTTTCGGTTGATTAATCTTGCTACTGGGATTTCTTAAAATCTCATCTCCCATATGCAACCTAATATTTTAGGAACTGAATCATCAAAAGGGAGGCTGCAAATCTAAGGATTAATATGGTGATGAGCCATCAGGAAATATTTGTATTTGGTTATGTATAAGTATCAGTGGTTGGTGCTGTAATCCCTAAGCAAAACGTCAGTTTAGAGCCATGTTTTATTAAGTTACCGAATGAATTTTTGTACAAAATTTAGTAGGCTTATAGTTGACATCGTGATCTTCAATTTGATATGAAGTACGTTAAAAATGGCCAGCTACATGATTTTTAATGATTTTTCAAAGTTAAAATTCAGAATCGTCAAAAAGGATTTTTGCCAAATGGACAGAGGTGAATTTCACAAAAACTTGACACTTTTTCAAATGGAATTAGTTCATAAGATTATTTTTTCTTGAAAGAAAATTCAAAGAGATTTTTATATAATTTTGAACCACTCCATTTCAATTTTTCTAGATTAAGTTATGAATTTTGAAGTTGGGCCAGAAAACTGGATTTTTACCTGATGAACAGTAAAAATCTGAAAATCAGCGTTTTTCATGAATTTTTGAGCCCAAGACCATCCAATGTGGTCTAAAATGGTTTTAATTAAACCCTAAGTGAATTCGATAGTATGGTATGATAGGAGACACACCCTCGCTTTATATCTTAGTATCCCATCTTCACCAATATTAAACTTTGACTCTTTTCCTTGTTCAACTTCTTCCCTAACCCCTAGTAGATACTCATCCTCTAACTGGGCAATTTTGATTTCCTTCCAAGTTGTACTCTCAATGGTTTGTGCTTTCATGGTAGCAACTAACCCAGACATTATATCAATAGGTGTACTTTGCATATCCTGCAGTAGGTTCCACTCCTTGACCATCAACTGGTCTGCATGGATAGATTTTCTACTTAAAGCATCTGCTACAATGTTTGCCTTCCCTGGGTAATACTTTAGCTCATAATCATAATCCTTAAGAAACTTCATCCACCTTCTTTGTCTCATGTTAAGTTCTTTTTGATCAAACAAGTACTTCAAACTCTTATGGTCGCTAAAAATCTCAAACTGCGAACCATAGAGATAGTGCCTCCAAATCTTCAATGTAAATATGACTGCTGCCAATTCCAAGTCATGCGTAGGGTAGTTTTCCTCATGTGGCCTCAATTACCGAGAAGCATAAGCAACTACCTTACCATTTTGCATTAATATAGCCCCAAGACCCTTCTTAGAAGCATCAGTATACAAAGTGAAAGGCTGTGTAGGGTCTGGAATCACAAGTACCGGTGCGGTGGTCAACTTGGTCTTTAAAGTCTAAAAGGCTGCTTCACATTTCTTAGTCCAAACAAACAATTGGTCCTTTTAAGTTAGTCTAGTTAAGGGCATGGCTATCTGTGAAAAGCCTTTAATGAATCTCCTGTAGTAGCCTGCCAGTCCTAGAAAGCTTCTGATTTCTGTGACACTTTGTGGTCAGTCCCACTTTAACATTGCATCAATCTTACTAAGGTCTACTGACACACCTTTAGCTGATACAACATGACCCAAAAATTTTACTTCTCTGAGCCAAAACTCAAACTTTGACAACTTTGCATAGAGTTTGTGTTCCCTTAACACTTGTAGCACAATTCTAAGATGCTGTTTATGCTCTTCCTCATCCTTAGACTAAATAAGGATATAATCAATAAAGATCACTACGAATTTATCCAAGTAAGGTCAGAAGATTCTGATCATATAATCCATAAAGATAGCTGGAGCATTGGTTAACCTAAATGGCATAATAAGGAATTCATAGTGGCCGTATCTTGTTCTAAATGCAGTTTTTGGGATGTCCTCAGATCTAAACCTTAATTGGTGATAACCTGACCTTAAGTCAATCTTAGAGAATATTGACGCTCCAGATAACTGGTCAAGTAGATTATCGATCCTGGGCAAAGGGTACTTGTTCTTTATGGTTACCTTATTCAATTAGCGATAATCAATGCACAGTCTCATGCTCCCATCCTTCTTCTTCACAAAGAGCATAGGCGAGCCCCAAGGGGATACACTTGGCCTAATGAAGCCCTTTTCTAGCAACTCCTTGATCTGTTTCTTTAACTCTGCTAATTCTGATAAAGACATCTGGTAAGGAGCTTTAGAGATAGGCTCGGTTCCAGATGCAAGATCAATAGAGAACTCTACTTCTCTCTCTGGAGCTAAACCAGTTATCTCCTCCAGAAACACATCCGAGAATTCACTCACCACTGCAATCTCCTCTACGCCTTTTTCAGCTGTTGTGTGAACGGAGAAGAACACCATATAGGCTTGACAATCCTTTCGAATACACTTTTCAACTTGCGCTAGAGATAATAGTTGTGGCCCACTAGAACTAGCGAAGGCGACCGGCAAAGAAAATGGTCTTCCTTCTACAATCTAGGATGGCATCATTCGCTGACAACCAATCCATTCCTACAATCAGGTCAATACCCTTTAAGGGTAGACAAACAAGATCTATAGTGGATGTTCTACCCTCAAATTCAATCATACAATTCAAGCATGCTTTAGAAGTTTTCACTGAGACTCCCACCGGTGTAGAAACAATCAAATCACAAGGCAATTCATACGTATGCATGCTTAAACAAGAAACAAAATCATCATATATAAATGAGTGTGTTGCACCAGAATCAAATAAAGCTTGAGTTTCAAAGCCTTGGAGCTTGAGAATACCTTTAATCAAATTAGGGGTAGCATCAACTCCTTGTTGAGATAGAGCGAACACTCTTCCTGAGACGGCAATTCTGGTATCATTGACCCCTTGTGAGCCTTCCTCACAGAATCTAAAAATATGGCCTGATTTCCCACACTTGAAGCAGGTAATGCAATTTCCTTGATGCACCGTCCCACACTTGGCACACCTTTGATTGTTGGCAGTGCTAGTGATAGGAGCTGTAGAACCCTTGTAAGAGCTCTGTGCCCCACTGACCTGGCTCCTCAGAGGTCTATTGAATTGACTCCTCATGGGTCCACCAGATTGATTCCTTGAGGGTTGATTAAACCGCTTCTTGGAGTTGTTAAAGCTATAAGTATTCTTCTTACTGATTCCTCCCGTAGGTCTCATGAATAGAACGGACCTTGTATAAGATTCTTTTCTCTTCTCAACTTCTTCTTCTCTCATTCTTCTAGCAATGATTCACAATTTGGTGCACATTTTTTCAAAATCATTAATCTACAAGGGTGCTAGAGCTGTTCTTAATTTTGGCCTGGCCTTTTCCAGTAGCCTATCAGCCATCTATTTTGAGTTATGTTGCATCTGCGAATAAGTAGTATATTTGACTAACTCGAGAAATCGAGCGATGAAATCTTCCTCATTTAAGTTCCCTTGCTTGAAGGCATAGAATTATGTTTCTTGATCAGCTCTAAGGGCATTAGGTAAATAGTGTTAGAAGAATTTTTCCTTGAACCTTTCCCAAGTTATCTCTGCACTCTCAAAAGGCTTGATGTTGTCCCACCACTTCCTTGCTGCCTTTTGTAACAGCTGCTCAGCAAGTTGCACTTTTTCTTGTGAGGTGCAGATTACTGTTCTGAATATAGTCTCCAGCCTTTCGATCTATTCTTCAGCTTCAGATAGATTCAGCCTGCCCTCAAATTTAGGAGGATCAAACTTCCTAAAATTTTCCCAGAGTAGTGTGATACGCGCAAGGTCGTGTCGAGAATGTGCAGTGCTATTAGCTTTCAATTCAGTGCCTCTAAGAGTATCACCTATTGACTAGTGGTCACTGGGAGCTCTATCATCAACAGGGCCATTTTCTTCTTGATGACTATCACATTGACCTTTGATTGCCAACAGCTCGGCCTCATGTCTCTTCACTCTTTGATTAATGCTCACAACATGATCTCGTAATTCTCGCAAAATAGCATTATTATCTTGACGAGAAGAAGCATTTTGATGTTGAATTGGGGTAGAGTTAGTCCTTCGAGTGTTCACCATTCTCCCTTCCTATTTATAACAATACAAGGATCACTAGATAACTATACAACATTACTAAAATAAACTTTTAATCTAGAAACTAAAGGGAAGTGCACATGTTATTATATTTAAAATGCCATGACCTCTAGCCATTTTTTCCCAAACCTTTTTGGAAAATATTTTACATAAAGGTTAATTAAAAAGCCATGGAACGTTATAGCTCTGATACCAAAAATATAATACCTCACATAATTATATCCATATACGCGATAAATATTTCATATAAAAATCCATACATTACTAACACTCCAAACAAGTCATAATTTCAAAATATTTCTGACATAACAACAAAATAAACTATTAAAGTTTTATAGTCATAGCAAATGTAAATATAACATAGCATGTGCTTGAGGAGCACAAAAGCCTTCACGGCTCCCTCTATTAGTGCCTTCTCTTGATTCCTACTAGATCATTCACTTGAAAATTTGTTAATATAGGGGGGTGAGATCAAACGTCTCAGTAACTACTGAAATTCTAACCTATACAAGCAAATTATATATGATAAACCAAAAATCTCTTTATATGTGTGTATATAAATATATTAAAAATCATGGATTTGATACATTCAATTCAATTTCATTTTTTTCCCAACAATATACCAATATCATTTTTCTAATATATCCAAAAATAATACAATATGCTGCCTCCCTTATATCACCGTCCACCCTTATACCGCTAACTGAAGCCATAGGCTAACACATAGTCCGATAGGAACTAATCCATTTTACTGAATTATTTCAAGCTCACCGATACTAGAGATATATTCGACCAAAGATATAGAGCTCAAGCTCAGACTATGGCTCCCCTCTTTTGTGAATAGGGAGGTGTCACATGTCCCACAGTTCCAATGAATTTCCGGCCAAAGGAAAATATAGAAGAAGGGGCCCTGACAAGTGCCATCCACTGTGCATCGAGTGATGGCATACAACGTGGTAATTTTATATCCATGCAATCTCCTTCTATCCTTAGCCCAACAATACCTGTCAGATGCCAATAATGTTACATCATAAATACTTCATCAAATATATTAAAAATAAGATAGCAATAAAACTTATACACCATTTAATAGCAAATCATGACAATTCCATAGCCATCAATATATTTAAATACTGATCATAATTAATAGCAATAAATCTTAACAAAATCAAATAACATACCAAAACATTTATTTGAAACCATAATACTATTTTTCAGTATGATATAAAAATTAGTAAATCCACAATATAATCATATACTATTCACATGTACAAGAAAGAATTTTCAGAGTTACCTAGTACTCTAGCTTACAAGTATTCACCAAGAGTACTCCAAAATTCTCAAGAGTCTACAAAATTACACATTAATATTTATTAATATAAACTCTAAACTACTCTAAAACTACTCTAAATTTCTAAGACTATCCTCTAAACCAAAATTACATAATTATTTTAACTCTCCAAAATCTAGCCATTTATAATAGATATAATATTATTTTGAAAAATATAATTTACATGTAAGGCTATTTAAATTTAGCAACTTAAGTAAATATATTTTTATTACCCAAAGTCTAAATATTTTATATTAAAATTGTAAATTATTTATTATTGTCTCCTTTAAAATTTTTTCTCAAACTAAACAACTTCTTTGAATTATAAATAAACTCTAACTTTATCTAATTTCACAAAATTCTCAATTTACAATTTTTTAAGCCTTCAAAAATTATTTTAAAAATATGTCTTTACTTTTTCAAGATTTAAACCGATTAAAACCTCAATAATATATTAAATAACTCAAATAAATTATTTACCTTAAATCTAATCGGTAAAAACATACTATATGTCTACATAACAAGTTTTTCACCTAAAATGTCAATTTAAAATTCTCAAAACAGTCATTGAACAAATATAAACTGATTAAAATTTCTCAATAATGTATTTTTAAATTTATACGGTCATACATTGTCAAAACTCCATATTTGCTCTATACCCAAATAGTAAAATTTTCTCTAAATATTATAATGATACTAAAAATATAAAGCTATAAATATATAGGAAATATTCATAAAGGAAGTTTGACAGAAAGAAGTAGTTTTATGTACCTAAATTATTCCCAAAACCGTCAGGTACTCCGCAACTCGGCTCTCTCTCTCTCTTCCTCTCTGCTTCTCATTCTCTTCTCTCTTCTTTTTCTCTCTCTTCCTCTTCCGTCTCCTCCCTCGACTTGAAAATCATCTGGGGTGAAGGTATTTAATAACCCCACGTTCAGCTTTTTCCACCGCCCCTCCTTCCCTATTTTTTCTTCGGCCATTAATACCTTGCCCCCCCTATTTTCTTTATTCCCTTAAATGATGCCCAGCCTTTCCACCGAATGCGGTGGAAAGCTAGGTATTTATATTTTTTATAATATAATAATAATATTATATTATTTTAATTAATTGATATCTTTTTTCTTTTATTTTTTAAAAACAGTATGTTGCACATTATACTTATATCATCAAGCCACACGTCTTTAATCCAACTGCACACGTGTCTTGCATCCAACCGTACACGTGTCTTGCGTATAACCGTACACATAATACCTTCTTTTCCCATCTAATTGTATACTTGTCCCTTCCATGTTCCTTCATTATTTTGGCATTAAAATAGGGAGAAAATTAATAGAAAATTCGTGCAAAATATAGCCCTTAGGCATTTCTCTACCTATTTTGCCATTCTGCACCGTATCAAGTACTTTTTTTGAGTCTTGATTGACCCGGTACCATTGGGACATGTTCTTGCACCATTTTCTCATCTTAATTAAGTACATATATGGTGCCATCTTAGAGGAACATAGATGAAAATAATTAGCTCTACTGACAGGCTACTTAACCTTGCCGAGTCACGCAGTAGAGATTTCACTATAACGAGTAGACAAAGGACTGTCTAAAATATTTCCGTACTGCGTTCTAATTTTTATGTTGTCTATAAATATCTTCTACTGACTCAGTATGATGACTCGTAGGTGTCATGATTGCATTTAATGACTCAGCATGATGACTCGTAGGTGTCATGATTGCATTTGGTAACTCAACATGTTAACTCAGTGCCGTCATGATGGTCTTTAGATATTTTCTTTCTCCTTTTCCCATAAATATTATTAAACAATACTTAATCGGGGTTACCTTTTTCCGAATTCTTCCTATCAGCTCGTAATGCCATTGATCTGTCTCTGGGTTTCATTCTTTCCCTTTCATCACAGGAAATTCCTCTAATTTTTCTCGGGTCAAAAGTCAAACTCTAGACAGCTATTTTGACTCTCCCCGGATATGGTATAAATAGGCTTTAAATTTAATTAAAGCTAACCTTGTCAGTTTCTAGGGATGGAATTAATTTTACAATCTGTGTAAATTCCTCAACTACTATTCCCCAGTTTTTCCTAATTATTTGAGGCCGTCTCATAGCTTAAATAATTCAATTTAAGTTACCATCTAAAATTGCTCAAAACCCTAGAATGACTTCAAGGCATTTTTGTCATTTCTAGCCTTATATCGGCTCTGGGATCCTATTCCCATTTTTCTGAAATTTTTCTAAGTCATTTGGGCCCTTTTTGCTAACTCTGAGCATTGGCCGACCAGAACTTTTATTACTTACAATTAGGTCCCTACTTGGCCTAGGAATCCTTTCTTTGCAATTTGGTCCCTCCTTAGGCCTAACCTTCGGAACCATATCTTGCAAGTTTCTGGTACAAACTCTGGCCCTTAGTTGTTTCCAGTTCATCATTCTTTAGTCCCCGAACACTATTTTTTACACATTTGCCCTCAGAAAACCTCTTTTTCCTTCTAAGGGATCTTCGGGACTTTCGTTGCGTTCGACTTAATAATCATCCTTTCCTTGTGCTATTACTTGTATCTATGAGTCAAAATTTGGGATGTTACACCTTCTTTTATGCTAATCATGGTATTAGCAGTCCTTAAGAAAGGTCGACCGAAGATTAGTGTGGTGTCATTTACAAGCTCAGAAGACATGTCAAGCACATAGAAATCAGCAGGAAAAACCAAATCCTTAACTTGGACCAAAATATCCTCAATAATGCCTTTAGGATACCTAATAGTCCTATCAGCTAGTTGGAGTACAACAGTAGTAGACTTAAGAGTCTTGATTCCTAGTGAAGTGTAAACAGACTTAGGCATG